CTAGGGCTCCTGTGTGCGGGTGTGTGCCCCGACCGGCCCACCCACCCCACCCCTAACCCCTCTGCTGGGCGGGTGGGGGCAGCTCTTAAAGGGCTCCGAGCGAGGCTCTGGCGCCAGGGGATTGGGGCCGAGGAGGGGGGCTGGGGCGGCCAGGGGTGCGGAGTGCAGTAGGGTCAGTCACGTGCGTCCCACATACTCCCCGGCTCCCACAGACCCAGGGGCCGCTGGGCCCTGGGGCAGCAGGAGCTTCCCCACGGGCCGAAGCGCCCAGACAACCCCGCCTCGTCTTCTCGTCTTCCTTCCTTGCTCCGGGCCTTGGCCTGATGGGACCGGCTGGGGGGGGCCAACCTTGTCTGGGCGCCGATCCGTGTGTGGGGTTATGCGGCCTGATGGGGCGGGGCGGAGGGGCGAGGGGCCTGAAATGGCCTCCCTGTCGTCCGTCTTTCCAGCTGCCTCCGGGGGGCCGCCCCTCCATCCCGATCCTGCATCCCGGCCCCTCTCCTCTCTGCCTGCCCGTGGCTGTTTCCCACTTCCTGTTTTCTTCCCGGCCCTGGCGCCATGGAGGGCTGCCTGGAGTGGAGGAGGTGGTGGGGCCCCCCCAGGAGGCCAGCGTGTTCTTCCTCTACCACCACCCCTCCCTTCCCACACCCATAGTCTCTTTAAAAAAAGTTTGGTCAGTCACATGAAGATGGGGGGGAGCAGGGATTCTGCTCCCCCCAAAGCTTGCAGAGTCTTTCTGGGAGAATCCCTACTGGCCTCTGGGACCCAGGTATGCCTTGTGGGACCCTGCTATCCCAGCCCTTCCTGTCTGTCTGCTGCCACCTTTACACCCTGTTTTGCAGTTTCCCCAATCCTTCTCTCAGTGTGGCTTTTCTCTCCCTGCCTCCCTGGACCCCCACGCTTTAGAGGTCGGGGACCCTGGAGCTTTCTTGGTACAGGTCTAGTGTTTTCCTGATTTGAGCACGTGGACCCGTACACAACACACACATACACACTCACACTCCCCTTGCCCGTGCCTGGCTCCTGGCTTCAAGGCCTGGGGAACAGAGCCCCATTGAGACACCCTGACGTCACCCCCCCTGCTCCCCCTCAAAGCCGGGAACAGGCCCTCATGTATGCTGTGTCCGATGAGGGAAGCCTGCATTGGGGTGGGCCTGGAGTGGGGAAGGGTCCCTGCCAGGAGTGGAATCCAAGGTCCAGGCCCTGGAGTAGGGGTGGGGGGGCTGCTCAGGGAAGGGGTTGTCTACAAGGGGGGCCTGGGACAGCTCCCAGAATGAGGCTTGAGGCCTTTCCAGAGCCCCCCACCTCCTTTCCGAGTTCCCTTTGTGTTGCATGTAGTCTCTCTCACTCCCTCTCTTCTGCAAAGTTTATTTTTAGCCTCCTGCTCCCCCGCTCCCAGGACTGTCGCTGCACACACGTTGCCTGGTTACCGGGACATGGAGGCTGGGGCGGGTGGGCTGTGAAGGGTGGCTTTAATTTTGGGGGGAGGGTGGAAGTCAGCACACCCCCTCCACCCCAGACTCATGTCTTAGGGGCTTTAACCCCTCTCTGGGTCTGGGAGCCAGATGGGGGCTGAGTGGGTGCAGCATGGAGCTTGGTACCCTGAGGGGGACCAGAGTCATTTTGGAGGGGCTGTAGCTCTAAGGTCTGTGGCTTGTGTCTTGGTCACCTGGGTTCCCAAAGGCTTCTAGGTCCCCAAAAGAGACCCTGGGACCTGGTTTCTCAGGCAGGATGAGGATAATGGAGTGAGCACTTGTATTCCCAAGAGAGGGATAGGGCCGTGGATGCCAGGATCTGAGGATGGGGTTGTGAGGGGCTGGAACCCAGTCTGGCTGAGGACTGTGGGTCTCTGACCTGCCAGAGCCATCTCCCTACAGCCCTGAGGAGCTGGTTTGAGGCTGGGATCTCCCGACGGGGCCGGGGGTTAGGATGAGGTGGGGCCAGGTGGTACTGGCCGTCCCAGTCTTCCAGGGGCAGGGGTCCATGAGGGAGAGTGAGCTCTGGGCTTAGCGTGGTTGTCCCTGTGTTCCCAAGGGAAAGGATCCCTTCTGGGATTCCAGGTCGGGGTGGAGTCTTTGGGGGAAGCGCAGTTGCCTGGAGGTCTGGGTGATACCTGTTTGAGCTGGGACCGAGAGACAGAGACAAGAGACAGAGACGGAGACTGTTCCCTGCAGCCTGACTGTGACTTGGGATCCTGCCCATCTAATGCCATCCACCTTGGCCTTCTCTCTCTCTAGTGGCACCAGGGCCCCTTACTGCCTCCCCCCTCCTTCTCTTCCTCCCTTTTCCCTCCTCCCACCCCTCCATTACCGGCTGCCTAGTGCTGAATTATTGATGGCCCCTGATTACCCGGGGGTTTGGGAAATGACAACAACCGCAGCCCCCCCACCCCCCCACCCTGGCTGCCCACCCCCTCCAGGCGGGCGGGCAGGTGGGCAGGGAAGAAGTGAGGATGAGAAGGCAGAAGTGGGAAGGCGGCGACAGCTCCGGAGGCGCCTGCTCCATCTCTAGGGCTGGGCTGGGGGCCCTGCAGCCAGGTTGGACCTGGAGGCCTAGGCCTGGGGAGGGCAGTGCAACTCAGAGGGTCCAGGGCCTGGAGTGGGGGCCTTCTCAGACAGTCTGGGTTTCGCTCTCCAGGGAAGACAGAAGCCTCTGTGTGTGCTAGCGCTGACCTCATCATCAACCAGCACCCCACCCCTCCTGGTCCTTTTAAGACAAAAAAAAAAATCCTCATTTTGGGTCCTGGGGCCGGAGTAGGGGCTGTTAGGTCTTGGGGAGAAGGCAGTGTATGTTCCTAAGGAGGGGACCAGAGGAACTGGGGGGACACAACTGGCTCTGAATAGGAGTTGGGGTGGGCTTAGGGGGCTGTGCCCTAACGCTGCTGTCCACGTGTGCCCCTTCCTGCCCCTCCCCCACTGGCAGCCCTGCCCGCTTGCCTGGCTTGGTGCCTGGCCCCCTGGCACTGGCCCCGGGACCCGCCGCCGACGGTTTCCTGTTTCTCCCGGTGTCGCTGGAGCAGGCTCCAGCTTCCCCTCCCCCCAGCTCCGATGGAGCCCCCTCACACCCAGACAGCACACACTGTCTCCCTCTAATTCAGGTCTTGACTTGGCTAGGGGAGACGGATTTCCCCGTGTGGAGGGCGGGGTGGGGTAGGAGGCCGGCCCTGGGGTGGGACTCAGAGCTCCCAGCTTGGCGTCCTGACCCGGCCCGCTCCTGCCTGTCCCCAGGGTTTGCCTTCCCGGATTGGGCCTACAAGCCCGAGTCGTCCCCTGGCTCGAGGCAGATCCAGCTATGGCACTTTATCCTGGAGCTGCTACGGAAGGGGGGGGGCCGTCATCGCCTGGCAGGGGGACTACGGGGAGTTCGTCATCAAGGACCCTGACGAGGTGGCCCGGCTCTGGGGTGTCCGCAAGTGCAAGCCCCAGATGAATTACGACAAGCTGAGCCGTGCCCTGCGGTGAGGAGGGGCTGGGGGTCCCTGAGCTGACGTTGGGAAGTCCCTGACCCATGGGAACAGGTTTTGGGTTTGACTCCTGGCTCTTCCAGATCCTAGCCGGGTGGTCTTGGGCAAGTCCTCACCCTTCTCTGAGCCCGTTGGTGACACAGAGGTATCCTGAAGAGGGAGCTGGTCCCCACCCTCTGGCCACTTGATTTCTCACGTGTGGCCCATGCTTGACTCACCGCGAGCGGCACCCAAGGGCATGCCCAGTGCGGGCCACGGCAGTGCGGGCCATGGCAGTGACGGCGTGGCGTTTCTGCCCCTAGCTATTACTACAACAAGCGCATCCTGCACAAGACCAAGGGGAAGCGGTTCACCTACAAGTTCAACTTCAACAAACTGGTGCTGGTTAACTACCCTTTCATTGACGTGGGCTTGGCTGGTGAGTACCAGGGGCGGCGGGCATGGCCTTGGAGGGAGGACAGGGTCTGTGTGGACGGCCAGGCTAGGCCAGGCATCCTGACACCAGGTCTCCCCTCTCCTGCCAGGGGGTGCGGTGCCCCAGAGTGCCCCGCCAGTGCCGTCGGGCGGCAGCCACTTCCGCTTCCCTCCCTCGACGCCCTCCGAGGTGCTGTCCCCCACCGAGGACCCCCGCTCACCCCCGGCCTGCTCGTCGTCCTCGTCCTCCCTGTTTTCAGCGGTGGTGGCCCGCCGCCTGGGCCGAGGCTCAGTCAGTGACTGTAGTGATGGCACGTCGGAGCTGGAGGAGCCACTGGGAGAGGACCCTCGGGCCCGGCCACCTGGCCCTCCAGAGCTGGGTGCCTTCCGAGGGCCTCCACTGGCCCGCCTGCCCCATGATCCTGGTGTCTTCCGTGTCTATCCCCGGCCCCGGGGTGGCCCTGAGCCCCTGAGCCCTTTCCCTGTGTCGCCGTTGGCCGGGCCTGGCTCCCTGCTACCCCCGCAGCTCTCGCCAGCTCTGCCCATGACGCCTACCCACCTGGCCTACACACCCTCGCCTACGCTGAGCCCAATGTACCCCAGTGGTGGCGGGGGGCCCAGCGGCTCAGCGGGGGGCTCCCACTTCTCCTTCAGCCCTGAGGACATGAAACGGTACCTGCAGGCCCACACCCAAAGCGTCTACAACTACCACCTCAGCCCCCGCGCTTTCCTGCACTATCCCGGGCTGGTGGTGCCCCAGCCTCAACGCCCCGACAAGTGCCCGCTGCCACCCATGGCACCCGAGACCCCACCGGTCCCCTCCTCAGCTTCGTCGTCCTCTTCCTCCTCTTCCTCCCCGTTCAAGTTTAAGCTCAAGCCGCCCCCGCTGGGACGCAGGCAGCGGGCAGCTGGAGAGAAGGCTGCAGGTGCCGACAAGGGCAGTGGCAGCAGCGGGGGGGGGGCGGGTGGGGGGGCCCGGGGGGTGCGCCCCCCC